CTACCGCGTGACCACCACCAGTCGCGCGTGGACGCCCACCCCAGCGCGGGTTCGGACCGGTGACCTTATGATTGCAAGTCACGCGTGCAGCCCACTCGGCCACCGGCCGACCGTGAGTTAGGAAGGCCAAGGGCGTTGATACAGCGATGTTCTATCTATTCTGCCCGCAGCTTTAAGGATCATATGACTACCTGGTAATCCGAGGGCTCGGGTTCGCGCTTGCGCAGGTATCGGGTGACGCTTTCTGTATCCTTAGCTCACGTGCGGCTGTTGGTGGTTGCGCGGCATCAAAGCGTCAGTAATACGTCCCAGCGTACTGCTGGTGTATGCATTTATTCCAGCTGTCACCAAATTCATCGAAATTACTACTGGCAAATCTTCATATGGTAAGTCTAATAGCCAACATGGACATTGGGTCTCTTCGCGGTCTCTGGAACTTATCGATGCTCGCCGGCATATCCCGGCTGGAAGCGAACACGATGAAACTCGCAAAGAGCTCCGGGCAAAACTCCGTGCAAGCCTGAAGAAACCGCGAATCCTGGTGGTCTCTTCGTGCGTCAGAGATGGAAGTGACCACTGCCCTTGGTAACCATCGTAAGTTATTCCGGATGATACGGGAAACGGGCAGCAGAAGAACCTGGTGTTAGTGAAACTATGCGTGACGAGAGTGGACAGCCTATCCACAGTTTGTCAAAGCGTTTGGAACGTTGGTCTAAGCATTTTGAAAAGCAATTTAATCGGCCAGAATTGTTCGATTTTTCGCTGGCCAGTGATCTCCCTGCTCCATGGGCTGTCCCTTTGGATCTCCCTCTCGCTCAGAAGTCAAACGTGAGTTCGGTCTATTGAAGTTGAACAAAGCCGCGGGACCAGATGCTCTTCATCCAGCCCTCTTCCAATTCGGGGGCTCTGCTCTTGTTGATGATTTACATGAATTACTAATCAAACTGTGGGAGCAGGAGACTGTCCCAACCGACTGGAGTCGCTCCGTTATTGTTCCCATCTTCAAAAGAGCCTCGCGTTCGGAATGCGGCAACCGTAGAGGAATCAGTGTGATCTCCATTGCCTCCAAATTACTCGCGTCCATAATCCTTCACAGACTGACTGGCGCTCGTGAAAGCCAGATTCGTGAGAAGTAAGCCGGGTTTCGTCGAGGTCGTGACTGCATCGGTCACATCTTCATCTTGCGTCAGTTGTTAGAGCACCGTCACATATATTAGCGACCCACCGTAGTCGTGTTCCTCGACATCAAAGGTGCCTTCGATTCGGTGGATAGACTTGCACTTTGGGACTGTCTACTCAGGAAAGGTGTGCCTGAGAAATATGTAAATATTATCCGAGCATTATACGCGCGTAGCTCGGGCAGAGTGAGGGCTTACGGCAAGCTGTCGCCACCCTTCAATATCTTCAGCGGTATGAGACAAGGATGCCCGTTGTCACCTTTCCTCTTCAACTTCTCTATTGATGAAGTCATAGAGATTGCATTTACAGGACATGAGTTAGATGGTGTGGAGCTACTCCCAGGAGAACGACTTCTTGACTTAGAGGATGCAGACGACATTGCCCTAATCTGTGACAGCTCCCAGATGTGCCAAGCCGCGCTGGACAGATTACACTGGCTGTCAGCCGCTTCGGGCTTTGATTTGCACCATCGAAGCTTTCTTCCAAGATTGGAAGGGATCGCCTCTTTCGCTGACTTTGGTGGGGATCAGCTAGACGTCGTTCGAAAATTCAACTACCTGGGAAGTTGTATCAGCGCCCTTTGGACTGAAGATGAGATCACGAACCATATATCAAAAGTTTGAAGTGTTTTTGCTAACCTTCGCCACCTATGGCGACGGCGCGACATCACTCTCGCCCTGAAGGATAGAGTGTGCAATGCATCGGTACGTTCGACCTTTCTGTACGGTTGCGAAACCTGGCCCCTAAGATCGGCGGACATGAAGAGGCTAGTTACGTTCGAATATCGGTGCCTTCGCAATTTGGCTCACATCTGGTGGGAACACCGCGTGAGTAACGAGCGTGTTCAACGCCTTTTTTTACGGCACAGAAAAAGGAACTGAATCGGAGCTGGCCTCGGTTGAAGCGTCACGGCTGCCTGCTTGGGGTCCAGAAGACGGTGAACACGTTTGGCTGGATACACTTGCTGACATGGCAAGGAGCCGTCCTCAGTGGCGTTCGTGCTGTGAGTTTCTTTGTCCCTCCCCGTCCCTTTTAGCCTCCCCATTTAACCACGATCTCATTACTTAGCCTTATATAATTTTGCATAATAATTTTTTTCCCTAGTAGCCGGCTGGTAGCTTACCGGAACGATGCCCATCCGTTGCTGGTAGCTCAGCTGGTATGCAACTGTTGTATTTATTTTCCTTTTCTTTTATGTATTGCGGCACAGTAGCTGAGGTGTTCCCCACCTCTAGCTAACGTGTATAGTGATGAATGCTGTACCGAATTCCACTTCCAATTCAGGCTATCATCTGTTGAGTCAAAACAAGGACGAAACGCGCTTTGGAGTGCAGTGATGGGAGAGAGCAACACCGAACCCAACTCTGTTTCCAAATCTATGGACAACAAATACACTCTCAGCGTATCTGGCGTCGAAGAAAGCCGCTGCTATTGTGAACAACCGAGCGCTGTTTCTACTCGTCCGGAATACGGGTCCAAGAAAACCATCACTTATTGAGATGTCTTAGGTAGATGAACCTTTGCTTCCTTTTCAGCGGCGTAGAGTAGCGCTTTGAGCAGTACATTTTGATAAACACTTCAGCTGGCCTGTTCTGGCATTGCCGTTGGATGAATCATCTGATCGAGAGCCAAGCTGACTTCAGCCCTGGTTGTGAGTGCATTAACCAGATCTGTACTCTTCGCCGATCGTTAGAACAGTGAAATGGTCAACTTCGGTGCTTTTCCTTGACCGGAATGCTACATTTGCCTCTGTGGTGTTGTTGTACTGTTTAGCCTTGAGGGACGTGCTTGGGAAACTCCTTTCGACTTTCAGATCCCTATCTACTCTGATTCCTGAAGCCTGGTTAGGGCCTACGGGAAGCTGTCTCCTAATTTCCTCATCATGAACGTAATTTGCCATGGTTGTCAGATACCTTTTTTCCTCTTGGGGAACGAAGTTATCTTATATACCTCTGCTTCATCCATTTGAACATTTTGTTCGGGGTCCAACTAGTTGATAATACAGCTCCCCATGGGTCTAGCCCAGTGGCTGTACAAACACTACGGATAGACGACACCTTACGTTGCACGTTTCGGAGTGTGCCTCGCACCATCGAAATGCAAAGTACTGTTGCATGACTGGTCCGACCAGCCGCCTTGTTTTCTCTCACCGAACAGCCATTGAAAGGGTTCGATCGGTTCACTTACATCAATAGTTGTGTCACTTCTGGTTGTCTGGTAGTTTGCGTATCAGCTAAGCCTACATGGCTTCCCAGGGACACAGACATCTATGGTGGCGACAGGATAGCAGCCTGTCAGTGAAAAGTAGGTCGTACAACGCTGCTATTGCCCTTGCTGCTATATGGGTAGGAGACCTTGCCGTTTTTGCACGCCGATGTCGGGAAGTATTGGTTGAACCTGGTGGGATTACAAGATAAACGGTGCCGAGTTCCCCCGGCTGATATCGAGCCATAAATCCGCTCGCATTTCGCTTGTCTGTCTATTAAAGCCTAACCGCATGCGTTGGCTAGGTGATGTCCTCCGCATGCCGAGTAACCGCCTTCATTGACGTGCATTATACACTTCACCACATCGAATTGGGTAAAAGTGCGAAGTGACCACTCGATATCGTGGTATTAAGGTATAAAGAAATTGGACGAAATACTCATTCCGGCGGTGCGTATATGGGGGATTCGATATGGTCCGTACCAGTCGTGTCGCAGTCTCGCAGTCAGTGCTGCTCCAGCATTCGATTTCTTGCATCTACTTGTTAGTACTCTACACCGATTGGCTCTGCTCGCTTGTTCCTTTGTTTTGCATCCTGCTTTCCACCTGTCTTGTCTCCTCCTTGTACTATATTATCTTGGCAACGAAGTTCTTTGCAACTGGATCCTCACCGCACCACAGTACCTGAGTCATGATCAAATGGCCAAAATTAACTGAACATACCCTTTAGAATGTTTCAACCGTAACCAAACTGGTTGCGTCAGCTGATCGGGGTTCCAACGTGAGCATTACGAATGTTGAATTTGTCTTAATTCCCAAACACGCGTGCATTTGATGCATCAGAACTGTCTAATATATCTTGCTTCTGATACGTTTGTTTTTTACTTCGCTGTGGCCGTTCACTGAGCATTGAGGGCTGTAGAGATTTCTTTTTGAGCACTTGGAGAACGACTTCCGCCGGTCCATTACCTTGAAGTTAGCTCTGTCTCTCGACATGTCACCCATTTATTGTAGATTTGAACTATTATGTGGACCGTTGTGGAGTTCCATTCGCTTTCCTTCATGGTTTCCATCCGAATGATTTAGTCGAACCACTTGATCGTCATCCTAATGGCACTATTACTACGCTTCCCTGCCTTGCGGCCATCACCAGTTACGTGCGAGCTAAGGATAATGTGATGCCTCCCGCACCCACGCAGGATCGAGTGTGCGACTTGGGTGGATTACAAATCAGACGTTCTATCCACCAGCTACTGGTTGTGAAAGTTTTTAGACCTACGCGAAATCCATTTAGGGGTTGAATTAGATGCGCCATCATTACGAACTACTGACACATTGCACTCCTTGGTGGTGACGACAGTATTTCACGAACTTGAAGCGTCTTTAAGTGTTTTTCCCTTCAACAAGCTTGGGCCTTTGGGAATTCTAACTTCACATCAATAAGCAGACGAGACTCTGATTTATTATATTTGTATCTGTCCGAATGTGAGCAACTTCTCGAGTGCTTAATTATCAATCTCTCACCCTTTTCTACCATCTTCCCGAGATTTTAGACGACGCTGATTATCCTGAGGAAGGCTTTGCCAGCTTATTCATCGGTTTTCTTTTTCTTTGTAGTTGTCATGGAGTCCGGTGCCACTGTGCACATACATCCTGTGGTGCTCGCATCCATTGTGGATGCTTACGAGCGCCGAGCGGAAACCTCGGAAACGGTCATCGGTACTCTCCTTGGTACCCGTGATCTGATTTCATGAGAACTTGTTACTTTTTAGGCACAGTTGGGAATGGGATGATCGAAGTTACCAACTGCTTCGGTGTTCCTCATGCTGAAACTAACGTCGCTGTCTCGATGGATTTCGAATTTGGCAAGAATATGCTGCGGTTGGAGAAATCGGTATGTCATTGTTGAACAGGCGGCAACAGCCGCTTATTTTTAGGTGAATCGGAGTCAGAGCGTTGTCGGTTGGTACGCCACAGGCAGTGAAATCACCGAACACTTTAAGCTGATCCATCAAGATTATTATATGCAGTCTTTCAGTGACGACGTACTCTTCTTGCTTGTGGACACGAGCTTAGAGGTCGGTGACCGAATGAGTGTCAAGGCATACCTGAGTCGACCTATTGGTATTCCAGGTGGCACTCGTGGCATTGTTTTCGTACCCCTTGAAGTCGAAGTCGAATTTTATCCGGCAGAACGCAGTGCTGTTGAGATGATGGCTTCTGCCATTAACCCGAAAAGCATGTTGCGATCAGAAGTTAGTTCAGTTCCCTGTGCTACATCATCTTTACTTGGTGTCCTTTGTATAATGTCTGAGCAGTGCTCGAGATCCAGCTTATTTGCGACCGCTTAGATTTACTGGTCGCATCATAGTTCTTAGCTATTCAATATGAGATTGGCAACATCATCATCAATACACATTAACCGAGGGTGAGACACTTCAGCTAATGTGCTGCAATAAAAAAAGGTATTATACTATGCAAGACAGACTAAAAAAGCCAAAAAGATTAACAATGCAACATATCACATTATGCATAGGGTTTGAGATTGTTGAAGGGGAAGCTAAAGTGGAGTGGAGGGACAAAGAGACTCGCAACACAAACGCCATTAAAGTCAACTCTTCGCCACATCAGCTAGTATATCGAATCCAACGTGTTCATCATCCGTCGGTCCCTAGCCAGCCAATCCGGAAACGCAAACCGACGCCAGGTTCGAAGTGATGGGCTTCATTCCTCTTGACCAAGTCATCGCTTGGTCTCACCTCCTCTCCTTCCATTCAGACCCCGGGTGTACAAACAACGCATGGTGCGGGTGTCGGTGTGCTGGCATACGCAAAACATGTCTTTGTTACAGGAGCCTGTTGCGTGATATAATGGTGCTGATCGATTCTCTCACTCTTCCTACACAAAATATGCGTCCCCGAACGCGATCATTACTCACGCGGTGTTCCCACCAGACATGAGCTATGCTGCGAAGGTAGCGATGGTCGAATGTAACAAGCCTCTTTAAGTCTGTTGAATTGATAGACCAGGTTTCGCAACCGTACAAGAGGGTTGAACGGACGGCTGCATTGTAAACTATGCTCTGTAGGGCTAGAGTAGTGCCGCGTCTGCGCAACTGGTGGCGAAGCTTTGCAAAAACAGCTCGAGCTTTTGTTATGCGGTTTGTGATCTCCTCTACAATTCAGCTGATGCTGATATAACTGCATACGTACTTGAATTTCTCGACGACTTCTAGCTGATCACCACCAAGGGTCAGCACAGGGTGGGTCCCTACCAACCTTGGAGAAGGACTCTGCATTTCGACGGAGCAAAACATTAGCCTGGAATGACTGATAGCCAATGCTAATTTGTGCAGTGCCACTTGGTACGTTTAAAAGCTGTCACAGATAAGGGCAATGTTATCCTCATACTCCAGGTCAAGAAGTCGTTCACCAGAGAGAAGCTCCATGCGTTGTAGGTCATGTCCAGTGAAGGCAGTCTCCATGATTTTGCCAATGGCGAAGTTAAAAACAAAAGATGACAGCATAAGTCTTGTCTCATACCGCTGGAGATGTTGAAAGGCGGGGAAAGTTTGCCATAAACCCTCACTCTACTCGAACTATGCGCATAAATCGCTCTTATGATAGTTACATTTTTTCTCGGGCACACCTTTTCTCAGTAGACAGTCCCAAAGAGCAAAACGATCAGCCGAATCAAAGGTCCCCTTGGTATATCCGGTGGGTCGCCAATTCACATGGGCTTACTCGAACAGCTGACGTAATGTGATTGTCTGATTACTGCAGCCTCGATTTCGACGAAACCCGGCCTGCTGCTCGCGCATCTGAATTTCACGTGTCTATGGAGGGTGACAAACGCGAGTAACTTATTGGTAACGGAGATCACGCTGGTTCCTCTATGACTGCTGCATTCGAAACGGGAGTCTGCCTTGGGAATTAGGGCCATAACAAAACGGTTCCAGCCTGTTTGAATAATCTCCTGCTCCCATTGATTCACCATTAAGTTATGTAAATCGTCCACACGAATTATCCTCTTTGCTTATGCCGCACTCTATGTCAGAATCTGACCTATCATATGATGCCGGTTCAGTACAGTTATTTTGCCCCGGTCCGAGCACCAGATCACAGTGAATCTGCTTACCTTAGTTTTCGTCCCCTCGTGAATAAAACACATCGGTTGCGGAACACTTGAAGTAAAATACACAAAGTAACATTTAAAAACAAAATAAGTGGGATTGGTGATGCGTAATGAACTTGGGTTTTTCACTGCCCTACACATCACAGTCAACATTACTTCGCTAAATGGAAGTTTGGCTAGGAAACTACAGCTATCGCGCCGTCATGTCCGTTACAAGTGATATGTTATAGTGTTTGGTGCGGAACTGTTTTGAGGACTAGACGGAATAACAGAATGCAACCTTTCAGTTAGCAATATCACTCCATCCTGTTGGGTCAATGGTTGCCCTTTAGAGCCGCACAGACAAAACAAGTGTCACCTTGGCAATGGGGGCAGGTATGTATAGAATGCACGCGAACAGTTTAATTTATCTGCTCTTATCTGTGGATCCAACGAATCAGTGTGATTACACTGCGCAACATCGTTTTTATTGCAAAGAAATGAACAGTGGTTTTCATATAATCTGAGCATGTTTAATTCAAATCTGAGATAGGTTTTTTCCCCGTAAGCTACAGATTTTTTTTGAAAGTTGACCATAACTCTCACTTTTCAGCCATTCTAGCTACTTTTCTACACCTCATTGTGCAACGGCATTTCGCTGCGAGGAAACTAACGGTGATTCTTATGTAATTTGAGCATGCTGGCTTAAAAGCTGGCATTTGATTTTTTAAGAGTAGACGGGTTTGGTAACATTCGTTTGATTCATGGCAATTACATTACAAGCTGCTAAGGTCAAGTAACAATTGGATAAAGCATTGTACGATCAGTTTGTCCTATCGGGGCTTGTAATTGGCGCGCATTCCCTCGGTTCTCTGCAGGGGATCAAACCTATCACCACTAGCCAGCAGATTATGCCACTAGCCCACAGGGGACGATAGCCGACCATCCGATAGCCGATAGCTCGACCCATCCTCCATTGTCATGCAGGTTACTGCCCGTGCAGAGGATAGTGGTTGGTCGTTCGGTGTAAGGACTTCCCTTGCCAGTAACCGTGAATCCTTCACACAGTGTTTTCAGGAACTGGTACGGCTCAGTTTTTGTGTACCGACTATGGAAGGTTTTGAAAAAGAAACTTTTCACACTGACCCAATGATGCAAAATATATCCTCCACACAAAGTTTGAGTATACCTAACATAGGCACAAAGCTAGACGCATTACAGGCATTTATTAGGTGAAAATGTGCGTTTATAGCTCTTGCCTCTATTTATTTTCTTATAGCCGTCACATTTGATGCTTCAACGATAGTCGCCCATCATGAGTTTCTCCTGTTTTCTTCCATCGTCATCAATACTTGGTGAAAGCGTTTCCCTTGTTCGTCACTTACTGCCCCAAGAGTTAACGAGAATTGTTCAAGTAGACTGTTCCAGAAATGCAGCTTGACGTTCGCATTACACCCAAGATCGCGAAATGCCAACAACCTTCCGTTGACCAGTTCCACATAATTACCCGATTTGTCGCTCCCACGAAAGTTGCGTATAACTGCCACGGATGACTGCCATGCACTCATTTCCTTAGTATCCATCTTTGTGGTAGTCTTCATCAATCACCAGAGCTCATGTTTGAGAGCCGTTAAAATCACCAGCTTTAATCTGCAACAAAGACAAAGTCGGAGATGCTGAAGCTATGTGCCGAAAACACCGGCCATTAGTATACAAAATTCTCATGAGTTGCTTCATAAAACCAAGTGTCAATTGCAGTGAAGGGAGAATATGATCTTTGTCGACAACTGGATCGTGCCAGTTTCCAAAGTTTCACTTCTTAGCAATTCCTGTGTCCACACACACACACATGCACATGACAACTTTGTGTAAACTGTCTGATGACCAACATGGAAGATTATCATCTTCAGATCAGCACAAATGATCCAGTTGTGTTGATGATGTTTGATGAGGTTTATAACTACTTTTAGTTTCTTATGTGATTCTCCCATAATACACTTAGTACGCTACTCTAACTGCCCCAGTAAAACAAACTTTAGGATACGTTTTAAAGTGCCCAGAAATTGTCTCCGATCTGGTGGGTCATACGAGACAATCACTAACTACAGTAAGAAACCTGGAATATCATGTCTTCTGAAGAAAACACCGTAAAGTTCTTCACGTATTCGATAGAAGAAAACTTTTGCTCTGCAGTTCTGCACCTTAATTCATGTAGCCAGCCACTCTCTTGAAAAACTAGATCACACCCTAAGACATTCTTGTTTACTGAATTGCTAGGGGCTTGATGACATGTCGGCGTCTGTTGCACAGTCTTCGTAAATTGCAGCCACTTCATGTAACTGGGTATCATCTTTATGCTCACTAGATCATCTGATGCGGCAGAAACTTCACATTTTGGTGCAGGAAGATCCTCAAATTGTGGAATGAGTCGAATTGCAGAGGAGATACTGAGATAACAGCTGCTGCACCGATTTTTCTTACCAATGCCTTTTGTACTAACCATGCACAATAGCAGTCCGTTATGTGGTTCGTGGGTTCTCGCCAAATCATTGGAACCTCAAATTGCACATTTTTGCATTGGCTTTTTGTCCAGCCACGAAGCATTTCTTCACAAGAGTGGCACACAATGTGAGGTGACCAGTTTTTTTCTTAGTCACCACAGTGCATATCGAAGTATGATTTATCGATGCGTTTCGCAAATGAAGTGATATTTGTCCTATAGCAAAATGCGTCAGGTTCATTTGCGCACTGGTGTTTACTAGAATGAGCTGTGGTCAAATCCGAAACGAAACTACATTGATATAGGATTTCCCATCTTGGTAAAATAGCGAAATGCATACAAACTAAGGCACACAGAAAGAAAAACGGATGTCGGACTTGAAATCAGTATTGTAAGTTCATTTGGAGACAGTTATAAAACCTCTTGCAACAGAAAATGATAAAATTTTGTTGCTCAGTGTTAGCGTTGCCTAGTGCTCACATACACAGCCAGGTGCCATATTGGAGGGTTATCTCTTTTGTTATCTCTCTTTTATTGTGTTATTTGTTATTGTTTACTATGTTATTATATTTATTATTATTATTATTATTAATGTTATCTCTTTTTGTAACCTTTCCTGAGAGTGGAACTCGACACGGCATT